CTCTCTCTCTCTCTCTCTCTCTCTCTCACTCTCTCTCTCTCTCTCTCTCTCTCTCTTTTTTCCCACAATAATATGCTTTGTGCTTTCATATACGCTTTAACTTTGCGTTGTTCTTCAGTCCCCCCGTGCTTGCTACTAAACCTCAGTCTACTACCATCGTCACTTCATATATCATCGTAATTAATTCACTTCCCTTCGTTGTCTTGTCTCTGTATTCTGTGAGCGTTTTTTCGCTGGCGTTGGTAACCAACGTGCCGCTTCGATCTACTGCGCAGTCACCTGTCCTGTCACTCGATCTGTTTTACTCCACAGATTAAATCCTTTCTACGAGGTTGTGTTGCTAGAAAAACTCACGTGGGTCATACATTGAATCAAATGTCATTACGTGTTGCAAAAGATGTGTGCGATGAAATAATAGCTATAATGAAATAATAGTACTGTAATGAAATAAATGATATCAGGCCGATATATAATTCTACGGGGTTATTTTACTATTATTAGCTAAGATTTTTGCTCCAAAATCTAGGGGGCAGCTGCCCTCTTGCCCCACAGAGGCTACGGCCCAGCCGTTAGGTCCGCACCAGACACTTGCATTTAGAAGGTTTCAATTAGTAAGTAACGCGTTACCTGAAACCTTTACTATAATATAGTATAATTAAGAGTACATAATAGATTCCTCAGACTGTGCGTGTTGCATGCCGGGTGCGGAGTACCACGACGTGCTGCGCGTTGCATGCTGGTTAGTTGTCATGACGACCGCGTAGTGATGGCAGCGATTCACGCTATCCAGGCACTAACTTATCTGTCGACAAGCCATGTCTTCGCCGCGTGAATTATCGTCTTTAGGAATAAGCCACGCTGCCCCGCCTCTCGATTTTTCATTTAAATGCCTTGCTGTTTTATCTGATATTTCTGACGAGGAGCCGAGAGATGGAATTAGGAAGCTGCGATACACGAGACAAGATAAACCAAAGGCTGTAACAAATGCTTTTAGGCTCAACAACAATTCATTGTGCGAGCTGTCAGGGTTCGCCGAAACTCTTGCGTCTCTCGTGGACAACCCCGATGGTCTGCTTTGGATTGACATCTCGTTCAATGACCTTACAACAATAGATCCTGTCTTACCCACTTACCGGAACCTGAGGGTGCTGTACTTGCATGGCAACAACATCTCAAATTTGTGTGAAGTGGAAAAGCTGGCACAACTGTCAGATCTACGCAGTTTGACGTTGCACGGTAACTCGATTGAGAATGAGAAAGGTTATCGACACATGGTGCTAGCGATGATACCTCAGCTGAAGACGTTAGATTTCAGCGGCATAACAAAGTCAGACCGGGCTACTTCACTACAGTTCAAGAACAGGCCCTGGGCGAAGAAAACAAAGAAGAAAGCACAAGTCTCGGAGTAAATTTAGAGTCAAAGGATCCGTATGCACAAACCATGGCGGAAGTGTCAGCTAGTGGATTGCCAAATAACTGCCAAGCTGGATGTTCGCAATCCGAATGGATTTTACCGTTTTAGTTTATAGTTTTAGTATGTAAGCGAGTCGTGTATTTCGTTTTGTGCACTAGCCTGACTAGGCCTACCCCAATAATACTTTATTAGCTAACATTAACAATCAATTTAGATTAGCTCTGTAAGTGTAACCTAGACTTTGCTTCCAAAGCTCTATAATCTATAGGCTATATAGCCTCTATTAAGCCTACACTACATCCATTAAATGCACACTCCATGTCGACTTGGAGACAAGGGTTCCGATTTTTCGTCCGATGACGTGAATGGTCCATCACTGTCCATGTATGGCGATGCTCGAATGGCAAACGCTTGCTACTGTAAACAAGCAGCTGCGCGGTCATTGTGGTCGCACTACCTTGTACACTGTGAAGAAGCCTTTAGAAGCGAATGGCTATCATACAGAAAAAAAGTATAAGTTAGAAGATCTGAGGGGCAACGGGATACTCCCAGTCGTAGAAACCAAGGGCGCGGCCAACCAGCGACATCTTAGTCGCTTGAAGAAGATGCTCTGTATCTAGCTCACTACTGAGCAAATTTCCCCGAGCAACATAAAAGTATCCAACTTGCCCGCCTGTTTATACGGTAGCAGCTAGTAGGCAAGTTATGGGTGGGGTTATGCAGTGGTATACGCACATCAGTGATTCACTAAACCGTATATAAGCATATGACGAGGAAACTTCCTGGTTACTTGCAATTTGGGGGTCATTTGAAATGCTGCTAGTTCCATAGCTGCTTCTAGGTACACAAAAACCAATATTTCTAACGTACCATTGGTTGCAACATTTCCCTACAGCTATACGTACTTCTGAAATGTTTGTTATATATGTACGTCGACGTGTAAACTTGTGAATGCAAGAGAACCATTATGTTAGCTTTTATGTAAGTTACACTTACATATAATCAAGAGCGTATAAAGAAGCTTCTTTATATGCTCTTGATACATCACCGTAATTAATAACTCGTATTAAAGTGACTGTGTGGTCTATCTATCATTAGTGATTTAGTCACAATAATGATGGTTAAGTTGTTAGTAATGTTGTGTAATAATCAATACAAATTTTTTACTTTGCATGATACTATACTGACGATAGAAAAGTGTGATCAATTTCGATAAATTGATTATGTATGATATTCCTCAATTATGTTTTAAAATAGGAACCTTTGAAAAATAGGATTTTTGAGAAAAATGGAATATCAATATAATATTTGCAGTATTACTATAAAAATTCTTTCAAATTAAAATTGAGAATGTTCCAAAATACATTTTGATGTTAATAACCATTTTAATAACGAACACAATTATCCGTATTTTTTTAATTTTTATCTAAAACAAGTAAACGAGAACAAACAAAATCTAAATAATTACACTAATCACATACACACGCACGCACGCACGCACACACACATACCTTTATATATATTTATATTTCATTGATTCTTTATTAGACCATTGACAATTTCATTTTCATGTCCCTGTTTTAGAAATATCTTATCATATTGTTTTAGAAAAACAAAGTAGATGGGATGAAAAGCAGTATAATAACCTGTTCTACTATAATAATATATAAAATAAAGCGGGGCCGTCATCTTACACGTAACCACAATCATGTGTTTAAAAAAAACCCAGCTGAATTGACTGAGAAATGCAAGACAGCGAGGAGAGTTGCGGTTCCTTACTCGTATTTGGTAACCTTAGGAACTATACGTATACCACAGATAACTAACAGAAAGTAGAAACTAATCCAAATACGGATTCCAACACGGATAACAATAGTTCAATTTGTTTTACAACAATAAATTTACCACCACCACCAACAACACCAACAGCAACAACAACAACAACAACAACAACAACAGCAACAACAACGAATTTATACTCGATCCCAAATATCACAAGGCATAGTTAAATAATTGAAGTGCCACCTTTCACTTGCTGCAATTTGTATACGACTCCAACACGATCCTAATCTACTGTCGCTATAGTCATTTGTATGTACACACGCACCCACGCACGCACACACCCATTTCATTTGATTCTGATAATATAGAACTATATAACTCCAGTAAGGGTATAACAACCAAGAGTTTTGTTTACATGTAAATTCATTATATATCGTTTATCATTATTAATAACATCAATGGCACATAACACTCGTAACACCATGGGCTCCATATCTGCATATTATGATGACAGACATCTCAATTATGTACTAACAATTCATAAATTTATGCCCGTTATAAACAACAGCATAACCTCTATGCGAATACAAGGAATATATCCCTATTTCAAAACTGTATAATGATCTCAGGTATCACTATTGATGACGATGCACATGACGCCGGTGGCGTGAATAGTGATGATTTAGACATTTATCCAACAAACGCAGTGGCGGCAATGTTTATCGGTATGGTTTCAGCAAGTAAGCTGAGGCCGTAGCTAGCTGGGGGGGGGGGGGGGCAATGAAGAGAGTTGCCCCTTAGAGAAATGTAAATACGTTACAAGGTCAATCAAAATCACTATATATAAACGCACGCACACGCGCGCGCGCGCACACACACGCACACCTATGAGATATATATAGATCAGTGAGCACAACGGGTTAGCTACGCTCCCAGTAACCAATGACACACTCTGTTCTATCACATGCGCAGTGAGTGGCAAAATGCCACTTTCGCATATGCGTCACCGTGAACTCATTGCAGGCAAATAATTTCAATAATCTGTTAAAAGACCCGAGCACTTACGCATACAGCTTACATTCCTCTCGTATAGGTTAACTGCATCGCTGCAAGACGCAAAATATATACTTACAACCTATTGTATTTGGTTAACTGCTTTGCGTACATTTACGTTCGCCTCTAGGTATTTGAAAGCCATGCAATGAGATTGAGAACATTAAAAAACAGAAATACATGTGGCGTAGCATAATGAGGGGTTGAAAATGTGCTCCACGTCAGTAAGAACAGGATTGCGCGATGCACGAGCGCGAACACGCGAATACGAACGAAAGAACGAACGAAAGGCACAAGCACGCGCCCACAAATATACGCGCGCACGCACTAACCCACACACGCACACTGGCAACTAAATGCACGCTGATAAGCGTTATAAATGGCCAACTGCATGATCGGCACTCAATTCAAAAGGACTGACTATGGATTCTATCGTTGTGCCGCACTTTAATTGTAACTATTTTTGACTAAGGATCACGTTATTTTAAATGTATATATTCTTAAAGATGATTTTAGTTGTAGTGATATAATTTTATGAACCAATGTTTTAAGTGATATCTATGTCTTACCATGGGACATATATTATTGTAAATATCATCAATTTCAGTTTCATACTGCCTGATGCTATCGTGTTTGCAAAATTCATTTTAATTGTAACGTTGTTAATACTAGTTTTGCAATAAACCTATTATCTATCTATCTATCTATTCGACTACTTGCCCGGTTGCAATGGCTTCTGGATAAGTGAGGCGCTCATGTCCCGGAATATTCTCCCGCCGGTACATGCGCAGTAAAGCGTATAAACGGTAGCGTATAACACGTGCATCCCTGCTGCCCAGAAATCATGAATATCTTACCAAAGCACTAGGCCGAGTACAGCGAAATATTACATGTACTGTTTCAGCATACACTATATATATTCTTGCTGTAAATTACTAAAATTTCTACGTCATATAGCAACACCTAACTGTCATATATTCTATGCCACTAGATCACGATCTTACCATTCTGTCTATTTGATCAACTTCGTCTCTTTCCTTCTTCGATATAGTCACTTGGACTTTGAAGACTAATATTTACGAGGTTAACCTCGAAAGGCACCTCCAAACCGACTCGAACCTTTCTCATATACATATGAAGAATGTAGAGCAGCAGCTACAATCTCAACCATGAAGCGTTTCATGAGATTTGGACAAGCAATAAACATTTCTTTGGTAACTAATACCCTGTGAGCATATATTAAACACAAACTATTGGGTTCCTTATTGCAGCTATAAACGTGTAAACTAAGTTACTAACGTACATTTCCAATTTGCAACAAAACGATATTTAAAGGTGCCTTACACACACACGCACGCACGCACGCACGCACGCACGCACGCACGCACGCACACACACCTATATTCAAATCAGGAGTCTATCAATATTGATAGACTCCTGAATATATTATAATAATGCAGTAGCCGAAAACCCGTTACGAATAAGATTCATTGCCGTTTTTTGCCTATAACCGGATAGATAATAGTACAATTATGAAGTGCACTAATGAAATATTTTACATCTAGTATATAATTATGGTATTACACGCGAGTTACTATTTTTTGTTTTCTTTAAATCTTAAACGGCTAAACAATAATAATAATAATAATAATAATAATAATAATTTTATCACAGTCTACTTTAAGACTAATAGTTTCAAACGCGATTTTTATATATTAAATAAGTATATATCTGTTTCAATCTAAATTATCAGTTACATACAAACAAAAAACATTGTATGATAGAATCCGGGAGTAATACGTGTATGCTATTGTATGCTATTGTATGCTACATTGTATTGTATTGTATGTATTGTATGCTACGTGTATGCTATTGTATGCATGTAGTGTGTGGCAAACTAGAACATCCAAGTATCTGCACACATCTGCGATTATTGCAAGTAAGGTATATGCGTATACTTAGAAAGTCTTCACTAAGGAGCATATTTACTATGGTTATTGCGACTCATTTGTTGTATGATCTGTATCGCTGATACCATGCATTTGAAACTATTGTCAAACTCATCTAAGTAATGTATGCATTGCTTTGTCACACAACAAAGTCTCAAATGTTAATTATTTACAGCTGGTCGATCTAACAGCAAAGCAAGCGTATAGAAATGCCCTATAACATTGCTTTGATATACACCAATTCATGGATTTATGGAAGTGGAGCATGTGATTTTGATATTATGTGAGACCAATTTCTACCAGGTACTTATATTATATGCGACTCGCGAGCAAATTTCGCTGTTGTGCGGTGCCGGGGTTCATGAGGGTTCATACAGCAGAGTAATGACAATATTTTATAGACTATTTACATTTTCACGTCAACCATCGATGACAACCACTGTTCCTGATGCCTCAGGAATTAAATAAATAATGCGCAGCAATGTGCACAAGCATAATTGGTTCATTATGATGCAGATCAATCACTTATAGTGATACAGTGGTGATAGTTCATGAAATAACTGCTGTACATAAATATTTGTTCAATGAACAGAGGCAGTTATATCGATAAGCGATTAGACGTTTTTGGAGATATATGTTAGATCTGGATGCACTAAATATATAGGCTGTTATATATATATCTGTTATAAGCAGTTAAAGAAAACTCAATGCCAACACATAGTTCTGGTAATTATAGGTGCCTCTAAATTTACACAGGAGCAATAGATATGTTTGTTTTTTACCTATTTAGGTTGTCTGATTCCGGTTATACTTTAAATGGTTATCATTGGTGTCAAACACTAGTTGGTTATGCCAAGCAGCTATACTAGCCAAGCCAAACGTAACTTTTGTGTGATAGACAATGTGTTAATAATGTGAGAATTGTTGAAATTAGGCCAAAGAATTGCTAGGAAACTACTTACGTGATAAACCTGGTGTGATCAGTCACCACTAGCGTTTCCGATCACATCGTTAACTGTGCGTGACTAGGCTCAGGTGACTAGAATAATATGATTGAATAATAGACATAATTACGAACATATAACATCTGTTGCAGCATCAAACTATGTGCGTCAACTCAATAGAGTAGTCAAAGCAAAAGTATTGCATTTCAAACTAGACAGAGGGCACTCACAGAGTGCATACCTCTGCCAGCGACATACGCCATACGCCCCATGTAACATGTATGTGTTACGAGCTGGCTCGCCGCTCGCTGCTAACTGACTGGCTTGCTGCTGAATCGACGCACTAATATCGATCGCGCGAACACACTAACACACGAACGGACTAACACGCAAACACACTACATGAGAGCGATCACATAACCTCCTCCACTCCGTGGGCGGAGGTAATCACTGTATCGGCAAGCCAGGGCATACATAGGCACATCATAGATATATGGTTACGATTAAATGTTCGTGTTTAGGACATCCAAACACAGAAACAGACAACAAATGATGTTTGTGCTATTAAGACCAATTATATGCAACCACTAACTTAGCACAGAGCAGCAAATCACTTCAGCACCAGTATCCACTTTGCTGTTAAATGTGTACTTAGTCAATGCTTTTCAGCTTGGCATGACAACTAATCGTATGAATTGTATAAAAGTTATATTTCACAACACCTGAATTGTTGCATGCGACCTGTATACTTTCTTATGCTCAGGCATTGCTACGTGCGGTGACTCCGTCTCACCAACAGTCATACTTTCTGGACACGACAAAATACCTTGATCAGTAGGAGTCATGATTGTGTCCACATAGAACATGCTGTTTCTGCCAACCCGCTTGCCCCCACTACCCACAAATGGCTCCTCTGCCTCGAACAGCTCGAAGACAGAGTCCAGACTAGAACCGAGGCAGTCTTCACAGCGACATGGGCTAGGGCCCAAACCGGAGTCCTGCGACTCACAAGACAAATGGCGTTTAATCGGGATAAAGATTGGCGACTGCCCATCGGTCGAGCAAGCCGACTTCGTTGAGCCTCTGCCAGAAGGCTCAAGTCTGTGTCCTAAAAAATCGCCCTTGTCACTTTGCGCCACACAATTCTGATCGTCTTGGCTGGACGACTCCGGGGCGAGCGAGGCACTATGGTGACTGGCCAACGCAGCTTCTGGCACACTGCCATCAAGCTTGCCATCCCAGCACGTGACGAAACGTTTCCGCGCCTGCCGGCACGCACTCTGCGGTGTCGCAGGTTTTAGCTTCTGTGCACCACACAGGCCCCAGTCCGGCTGCACAGACAGAGAGATGCTACAGGGCCGTGGTGGGTGGTGCGGCTCAAGTGCAGTCGCCACCTTCAGTGAATCGAGAGGCGTCTGCCGCTCGCTACGCCGCTCAACCGTCTTGCCGAAGACAAACAGCGGTGTGTGGTCGGGACTTGCGGGCTCCTTCTTGCTCTCGACTGTCTTGCCAAAGACAAAGACGGGCGACCTGTCGGAACCCGCAGGCTTTGTGAGCAGCCTTGCGCCTTCAATGATCACCACGTCCTTGGCGTCGTGCGTGCTCGCGAACAGCGATCGCTTCGGCTGGTGCGCAGTGATGCAGGGCGAAGATGCGCTCACTACCTCGGGTAGTGTCGACACGGCAGACGACTTCACTGGCAACAGAGGCTTCACCGGCAGCGGTGGCTTGCGCGCCGAGATCGGCTTCGAATACGTTGACGGAGTGTCGATGGCGCAGGTGACGCGTACACGGCACACACTGCTGCCGCCTGACACGCCGCAGGACACATGCAGCTTGGGCGATGACTCCTCTATTCCTGCCTCACTCGTCAAACATGGCATGAAGCTGATCTTGTCAAGCGCCGACGTTGGAATAGCCTTCACACCTGAGTATGACACAAAATCATTGCAAAAAACCCATTATTCTGAAACTAATCATTATATAAACAGCTAGTACTTGAACCCAAACGTACAGACTATTAAACTGCTGCGGCAGCATTTCAAATTGCATGATTGCCTCTTAGAGAAGTTTGCTATTAATTATAAGTTGACGCAACCAAAGGCAAACCATGGATGCACCCAATTTTTGCACAACATCCCAAGTTTAGGTGGAAAAATAGTCTACTGCTACGTGCCACCATTCTATCTTAATGAAACAACACTGGTAAGCATTTCAGCTAACAATGAATTTAACACCTTTAAAGATTACTCTTACTAATTACTACGTGAGATCATGAAGTGGCAAAAGATGGTTGGGCTATGTATGTGTTCCACACACAAAAATTAATCATGTTACCCAGGCACGGATTTAGGCCGGTTTGCACCGGTTTCCAGAAACCGGTCACAGGCTGGGTATCTTCAGAATTGACCCTCAAAATTCACCAGAGTGCACCAAATATAGCCTAATTTTTTAAAAATTCCCGGGGGGGGGGCATGCCCCCGAACCCCTAGAGCTTACCCCTAGAACTATGGAAACTGGTCACCCGAACCCTCTGGATCCGCCCCTGTTACCAATAACGAGAAATTCAACATTCAATAAGAAATACCCACCTTTAATGTCCTCTTTCCAATCCTCATCATTAGAGTTTGACTGATTAAAATTTAGCTTGGCCAAGGCCCTGACTGGAGACCCAGATGGTGATAGACGTTCCACCATGGGTGTTGGAGCAGTTGAGGGTGTGACAGTTGGTCTCCTCATAGGTGTGCCAGATTGGATTTTGTACCCTCTACTCCGCAAAACTCGTTCCCATTCTAACAGTTGGCCCAGAAAGTTGAAATTTGGTGATATTACTGGTCTCTTGTCTTTGACGTACCTATGACAAATGTACAATGGGTATTTATAATGAAAGTGTCAATGACACTGTAGCTCACCACAAAAAAAGGACACAAATGAGTGAGTCAGAAGAAGTCAGTTTTAATTGAGCAACCATCGACGTACATTATAGAAACGATTGCCATCTGTATATCGCAATAATAATTTATAAACCAAAATGAATCACAATTTGTGACGGTAGATGGCGCTATACCTGCTTTGTAGCGATGGCGTTCAAAATAAATAGGTTATGCTGCGTTCCGACATGTTTTGTAAAACTTTACTCTAATATAGACGTTTTATCGGCAGGGTGGAGAGGAAATACCAATTTTGCATTAAAGATATTGTCAATAAAATCTTGTAAAACGAACCAGACGAGTGTCACACCACAGACTGTTTGCTATCTGCGTTATATGCTATATAATTGCCGAACCCTACCTAATTTGCATATTTTTTTTTAATATCAAAACCCCTAGCCCTTATTCATTCACATACCAAAAATGAGCAAAATCCGTTGAACCTGAACTGACTAATGGCAATTCCCATTTTTGCCAAAAAATCGCGGTGGCTTGAAAGTACGCCGACTGGCGTGCTCCAAAATAGGACGTTTAATATGGGAGCATAGCAGTAACAACTACACCCAATTCCAAACATGTGAGTCAAACGGTTCCTGAGTTATCGTTGACCGAAGCCAAATGTTGACGGACGGACGGACAAACGGACGAACGGACGTACGACGACCCATGGCAATTAATAGCTCAGCTTGACGATGTCAAGGTGAGCTAAAAATGTGTACTGCATTATTTACAAAGCATTGGTAATTTTCAGGTTTGTGTAATAAGTATGTTTAGCTTATATCCGCTAATACGTGTATTTGAAAGATGATTACTTTACATGAAATATTTAATCATTATCGGTGGTCTATAGATGTTTATGTATTAAAAGCTGACTAAGTATGGGATTATGGGATTATAAGCAGTAGCTAGGTTTAGCATAGATTCCACACAGCTGCCACTGCTCAGCTGCTACGCCTACCAAGTTTTTAACTAATAACCAAAATTTAGTCTGGCAGATTTTTGAAATATTAGGAGAGATGCCAGTTTGAGAAATGGAAAAACTAATTATTGTTTGAAGCGATTTCAAGTAGATTGCAAGCAAAAATTTACATCTTTCCCAAGAAAAGATTAAAGAGATTTAAATGCCTTACGTCATACATGTCAACCTATACGGAATGTCCGTAAATTTTACGGATTTTCACCCATTTAAATTGCTCACGAGCATACACCTAAAATCATACGGATTATAAACAAACTTGGCTCAAAATTTATTGCGTGCTGTTTTGTTTAGAGAATGATAAAATAACGATTGAACGCATGCACACAAGTAAAGAGAACAAAGAACATCAACCGGATGTTTAACTGAAAGCTAGGTTACTGCTGCTGCAGTGAATGCAGACTAGAGACTGCAGAGATGACTCTCGGTTAATAAAGTGTTGATATTAAACTCGTTTTGTTGTGATTTTTGTAGATCCTAAGGATTTCTTATGGAATTTATGGATTTTTCCAGAAGGGTATACAGGTGGGCATCCAAAGGGATTGACATGTATGTTACGTTGACAACTTCTCATCCAGAGTAAGCGGGTATAAGAAGGGAATACTTGAGCGACAGTATCACCTACCTGTAGGCTTCATCAGATGACATCTGAACATGCTTCATGATGTATCCGATGGCAAATGTTGGTGAGCGGGAGACACCAGCCATGCAGTGCACGAGAACACACTCATGTGACTCATGCACCTTATCTGCAAGTAGCCAGGACTACCGTGCTTCAGATATTATGCTAAACAAACAGTTTTAATGCCTTACTACCAGTGAATTTTTATGGCTATATATTTTCAATTGAAACTTTTAACTTGAAGACCTACACCATTAATACAACTGTTCGATATAAACACGCTTTTCAGCTTCACATAATTACAAATTGAAATAAAACTTTTGTTATATGATATATTGTCATATATATACATTATAATAATAGAATCTCATAGATAAGAGATAATTTACGACAAAGTATGACATGATCGGGACACTTACCTAAAAACTGGAATGCAATATCAAACCATGGCAACAGCTTGTCACTGTAGTTATCATTGACTGGTATGCGCAGAAAGTAATTATCCTGTACAAAGTCAGATCGACTGCAATTTCCTGTTACGTTTAGCACATACGATATACCCAGCACCTGTAATGTTAAACAAAATACAGTGATCAATATACACTAACAACATCAACATTACATCTACATTTAACATGTGACAAGATATATTAAGGATACACTCAAGGTTTTATGTGAAATTTCATTGATTTTTCATTCTCATTCTTATTCGATGATTAACACTAGGGCTCATAAGGTCTATGTCCCCCAGGGTACTGCCGGAACGTACCCTGGGTACGGTCCGGTATACCGGAACGTACCCTGGTAACTATCCGATATGGTTAGGGTTAGGATTAGGGTTAGGGTTAGGGAGTAGGCGTAGGCGACTCCCTAGACTCGTTAGTGGAGTAGGCGAGGTAAGATCCGGCATATTAGATAGTACCAGGGTACGTTCCGGCCGTACCCTGGGGGACATTGACCCTCTCAGCAACACTATAGGTGCCACCTCTGTACGTGCATATTTCTCCATATAACGATGCATTTAAACTTTCAGAGCATTTTGCTTGCCCGCGTACGTGTGTAGTGCATGAGCGGTGGCCCTGTAAACACAGATTTACTGATGACGTCAGAGACATGATACAACCAACCTGTTCACGATATTCATTATGCCAGGATCCATTATCATCAACCCTTCTATAGCTTTCATCTGCCAGTGATAGTTGAAATTGCCGCATGGTTGAAAATAGCATTTTACGTTGTTACACAGGCCCAGGTTTGTTGACACGTAGCTTAGTGACGCTCATGGGATCTATGTCCCCCAGGGTACTGCCGGAACGTACCCTGGGTACAGTCCGGTATACCGGAACATACCCTGGTAACTATCTGATATGGTTAGGGTTAGGGTTAGGGAGTAGACGTAGGCGACTCGATCCCTAGACTCGTTAGTCAAGTAGGCGAGGTACGGTCCGGCATATTAGATAGTACCAGGGTACGTTCCGGTATACCAAACCGTACCCAGGGTACGTTCCGGCAGTACCCAGGGAGACATAGACCCTCTCAGCCTTAGTGACAGCTAGTATGCATCGTTCGTGCACTTCGCATTAAATTGCGATGGTAATTTCTCAAAGATTTTAAACGTGTACAGAACACTTTACCAATTTAGTGGTTTCAGTTAGTCATGGATATGACACAGTAAGTACTAACAGTAGATGTTTCACATACGTTCACCCATTTTGCACACAGGCGGTCGACCATTGTGAAACATAGAAAAACGCTGATTTTTCTGTTTAGATTTCTGTCACAGTAGCCGATGTATAAGTGGATATATCTCTATCATTACAAAGCAGAATAATGTAATTTCACACTCGTTTTAATGGTGACACATTCCTGTAAAAATGTCATTATACTCTTTGTGGTAAGTGAGATATATCCAATATGACATTTTTACATAATGATTCAAATTTGTGTTGTCACATAATTAGGCAGATCGGGTCGTTGTCGTATCAGGTACTACAGATATGTACCCGAGGTAGTTTTATATGTATATACACAAAGTGTACCAGACTTGTACTACAGAAGTGTACCCTAATCCTAACCCTAACCCTAACCCTAACCCTAACCCTAAACATAC